TAGTTTACTAATTTAGGCTCCATTTATGTACCTAGAAATGGAAGAATTCATATGACCATTTTGCTTAAAATCGTAATTTTTGCCAATTGATACAAAGATTTTGGGTAAAGCCTTTTACAATTAAAACATTTTTTGGGTGCACTCTTAACTATCCCTATAATTCAAGGGTGATTTGTGTAGTTTACAAAGAAAAACAAAGTTAAAATTAAATCAACTGAATTGAATGAAACAAGTTAGCTTTCAAATAAACCATTAATTTAAAATAAGCGAGTACAAAAATCAAGTCTGGTCTTTCATTTCCAAATGCGTGGTAAGAGATGACTTTATGCTATTAAGATTATGATTTTAATGCTATTAAGACAGTGACTAAAATAATATTTATTTGTCTAATAATGAGCTTCAAATGATTTGATTTATCAATAGGGAAGTTCAAAAATATCAAATTTCATTTTAATTTACTTTGTTTTGTGATTTATATTTCCTTTCATTTTAGTCGTTTTACTCTCAAATTTACTCTCAAATCTTTAAATTTAACGTTTGCATCTTCAATAAAATTTAGATCTGGTTTGATTGTAATATTTTCTATTAATTTTTTTTTATAAAATTTAAAAATTTATTCACATCATGTATTTTTCTTTAAAAATTATCATTATTTGATTAATTTAACTAAAATAAACTTTAAAACGGCGCAGATATCAATTTTAAGTTTTATTAAAAGTATATAAATTAAATTTGAAAGGTAAGATAAAATTAAATAATGTTTTTTTTTAAAAAAAAAACAGCACAAACTAAAAGTTTGTTATGGGTAAATTCATTTTTTTTTAGAGAAAGAAAGTGCTTATATTTTGTTTGTTTCTTATTGTCACTAAATTAATGAAAATAAACAAATAAATAAATAATCAACAAAGCAATTATCGAGTGTAGTAGAGTATAGGATAAGAAACAGTGAGCCTATTTCGTAAAAGCAAAAGCGCTTTCGTATACACGCGTCTTGCCGCAATCGATCGGTCCTAATCGGCCAATCTCCGCGCGAAATTATAGTATCTGTTTTCGTTTCTCTCCCTCTCTCTTCTTTCTCTCTCTTCCCTCTCCCCGTTCGATGTCGCCGACGATTTGCTAAGCTTCGTCAAGGTAATCTCCTTCTCTGTCTTCTGTTTTCTCCTCTCTGCGTTCGATCTTTTGACAGAGTTGTCGTTTCATTTCATAGAGGAAGTCATTTTTTGTGTTTGTCCCTTTGTCCAGGTCGCAGAAGGGAATCGAATTTCGTTGAAGGATACTGGAAACCGATGGCTGCACCACCGGCAAGGGCTCGTGCTGATTACGATTACCTCATTAAGCTTTTGCTTATTGGCGATAGCGGTATGTTTCCAACCCTTGGTTTTTTGTTTTTCGAGTTTTGAATTCTTTTTATGTCTGGGTGTGGAGGAAATGATGGGAATGGAAATGGGTGGTGCTGTTAGAGATCTGATGGAATGGGTTATGTGTAGCGTGGTGTGGATTTGTTTGCATCAACATGATTTCGGGTTTTCTCGTTTTGGTGAGACTAAATTTATTGCATGTTCTCAATTTGTGTTTGGACCTTTTGATTTGAAAATGGTGGATTCTCGTCGATCTCTCCCTCTATTTGGGACTCTTTTTGGGCTCAAGTTTGGCATTCTCGACATGCTGTGTTTTGTATTTCATGTTCTGGTGGTATGCCCCATGGTTCTGTGTGCAACAACGTCGTAAGACCTGGTAAAAGGGACCGTGATCTTTTGACGCCCAACGGAGAGAACAGTTTATTTCTCAATTTAAGAAGGCGGCCGTTGGGATTACTTTTCGAGAACATTAATTTAATTATCGAGTGTTATGCTTAAATGTCTGTTGGAATCGAGGTGAAATTATTGAGTGTTATGCTTAAATGGGCGTCAGATTTGTGAGCCTAACCATTTTGCATTTCAATAGCCTTCTTGTAAGCTTTTTCCATTTCGATTATTTTGCAGGTGTGGGAAAGAGTTGTCTGCTTCTGCGTTTTTCTGATGGTTCTTTCACAACCAGTTTTATCACCACAATTGGGTTTGTAGCCTGTGTTCCTTTGAAGTTTGCATGTTGAAACGTCTTAGTGCGTATCAATTTGAAAACATTCATAAAGTTTAGCAATGTTCATAGATTTGTAGTTGGGATTATTAGCTGAAATGAGGGACAAGAGTGGTTTGGAAGGATTGTCAGTTTATCAGATAGCTGGTTTGACATTTTCATGTACTGGTGTGTATGATATTAATAGTTCTGCCCGAAAAACTCTATATGTTTTCTAAGTACGTGTATTGTTTCATTTTTTTTTTCCTCTCAAAGAAAGTATAAAATTTCATTTTAAAAAAATGTAGTTTGGAACGTTTCTTTAATTCAGATAATATGCATCTTATGGCAGTATTGATTTTAAGATACGAACCATTGAGCTTGATGGGAAGAGAATCAAATTGCAAATCTGGGATACAGCTGGTCAGGAACGTTTCCGGACTATCACAACAGGTATGTATCTAATATTTGGTTTTATTTCTTCTATGTATTGTGCTAGAACAGATGCTTCCTCTATGAAAGACGGGCATCTAACTGTATGATCAAAATGTTTTGGAATAAAGCTTGAAGGTGACGGCTAGAAATTTAAATATACATATAGTTCTATTCATTTAGGTATGTTAGCTTATGATGTTTAGTTTGACATCAACCGTTCAATTCTTTCAATTTAGTAATGAAAAGGATTAGAACTGAATATCAAGGTCGAACGTGAGAATAAGTGCTTCTAATTGTTGTCATGTGGTTTGTTGAGAGAAGCGGTGGTGAAGTAACTTTCTTCTCCAACTCCCTAAAACAATTTTTTATTCCGATGGCAGTGAAGTGAAGACTTTATCATGTCACTAATTTTGATGATTGTAGTTTGAATCTTTGGTGTAATTTTGTTTGTCACCCTGTAGCTTACTATCGAGGAGCCATGGGAATTTTGCTGGTTTATGATGTCACTGACGAGTCATCTTTCAACAGTGAGTTATTTCATTGCCTATGATTTGCATTAGCTCCGCTCATCTTTTATATATAATATCAAATGTTTGACCTTGATGGGCTTATTGTTCATTCTATCTACCGTTTCATTCAAGATTTTCTAACTTAGAGCTTTAGTTAGGGGAATGAGTGGGTGGAATATTTTTTTGTCCCTGATGTCAAATTAGCCTATAGTTTAAGAAAATAACTCTTTGAACTAAAATAACCATCCATCAAATGGATCAAAATTGGAATGAACTAACCACAACTGACGACTATTAAAACCGAACCAACCAACTGGTTGGATATTTTGAGGTGTTTTTGGCTTTTTGGGTTTGAATCGTACCCTTATGGTCTCTAATCATTTCTACTGTTTTCTTATTTCCATCTATTACGAAGTTTATTCTTTTCTTATTCAGACATTAGGAATTGGATTCGCAATATTGAACAGCATGCATCTGATAATGTGAACAAGATACTGGTAGGAAATAAGGCTGATATGGATGAAAGTAAAAGGGTAAGCATATTATATTGCTCAATTTCTCTCAACCTTTATCTTTCTTATTGCTTAGCACCAAAGAATTACAGGTTCAAGAATTTAGAATGCAACTCCACTTTAAAGCTCATACTTAGCTTCAAATGTCACAAAATAGGAGTTAATCTTAATATTTCAAGTTGATGTTATCCTATGTTTACCTTGTGTGTGTCTTTCTTTTATTTTGTGGCAGGCTGTGCCTACTTCTAAGGGTCAAGCTCTTGCTGATGAATATGGAATCAAATTCTTTGAAACCGTAAGTTAGAAATGATTCAAGATCGCATAAAGTTAGAATCTTTGTAGGATTTATTTATTTGTACTTAGTTCTTGCATTTTAACATAATCCGCAGAGTGCAAAGACAAACATGAATGTCGAGGAGGTTTTCTTTTCAATTGCCAGGGACATTAAGCAAAGGCTTTCAGACACTGATTCCAAGTCAGAGGTATTTACTTGGTTGTCTTCAGTCCTGGATTGCTTTGAATTTTCTTTAGCCTTGTAGGAAGAAATTGCTGTCACCAATAAAATCCTTAACGTGGATGAGATCTGTTTGTAATCCAGCCTCAAACAATCAAAATAAACAAGCCAGACGCAGGTGGGGGCGATGGTCAAGCCGCTCAAAAGTCAACTTGCTGTGGCTCGTAAAATGGTAGTAGAAGATCAAACCAATTGAAAGAGCGAAAACGCTCTTCATTTCGTGGTGGTGCCTTCTGGGAACAAAATCAAAGCCTCTGGTGAGACTACTGTGGTGGGGCTTTTGTTCATCCATGCTTATGTGTTTGATTGTTTCTTTTTGTTCCTCTACTTTGGCAGAATCTGATTATCCATTTTCTTATTTTTTTTTTTTTATATCTTGGAGGTTGGGATTTAGGACTCTTCTATTATTTTACGTGTTGTTGGTGTAGATAGATAATCAAGATTCTTGAAGCATTTTCTTTCTTTAGGAGCAGGGAAGAATGATGGTCTCTGCTGCATCAGTTGCTCTGTAATTGGGATTATAAGACCCTTTCTTAACGCCCAACTCTAATTGGAATTATTGAATGTTGTTGACTCTTGGACGATGCTAAATCCATGCAATTAATTTCCTTGGCTTGTTGGATTATTTTGTGTTTTTATTTTTTTATTCCTTAGATCATTGCATATTATACTCAGGTCTCTGTGATGGTTTAGTAACACTTCTAGTTTTTTCATTAATGAAATTGAGAAAGAAATTGAAAGATCATTTTTTTAGTATGCATATTGATTTAGATCATGCATATTGATTTCATGGACCTATGATTTTTGTCTTCAATTTTTTAGGGCAAGCTATTCTTAAAGCTGCTCAGAAGGACTTAGATTATTGGAAGATAAATAAGATAGAAAGAAACATTCGGTATCTAGACTGGACGTCACGTGTGACATGTTATCGGAGACAATAAAGTATTGCAGGTTATCGGAGACGATAAAGTATTGTAGGTTTATCTTCAAACAAATTAAATAGTAAGATGGGTAAATGATAATAGATAAGCAAGACAGCAGTATCTGAATCTTCATAATCTGGAAATAATTGGTACAAAGGAAAGGAATGACTGACTTGAAAACATACACTGACATAACGTAATGGCTCACATTCCATCTCCTGGCGATACTTCACTAACTCCATAATAAGATAGAACATTGTTACGCTTTGTTTCAAGACAATGATATGTTGGTTTGATCATCATGGCAGCTGCAGCAGTTCAACAAAACAAATGTTATTGACAAAATGATCAAATCAACAGACAAGCAAGTTACTTTAAGAAGATTCAAGCTCAAGCTCTAATCTGAATTTTTGTTCTTATTTCCAGTCAAAAAGCCAGAAAAGTTTATCAACCACAACAACGAATACCAACCTTCAGGGAGTTCCCTTTTCTAGTTTCTTCTTTTCAACTTGTCCAGTAAGAATTTCACTCCCTCTCGCAACGTTGCTTTCCTGTCCTCTTGGTAGTTCCATAGCTCCGATACTATATACCTTCCACTTGGATTATATTCATTTATCTCCCTTAAAGCTGCTGTCACAGCCTTGAACACTTCCTCCCCCCACTCATTTTTCAGATCTTGTAGTTTCTCATCTTCATCATCCAAAACTTCGATTTCCTATATCATCATCATAATAGTTAAATATAAATATCTAAAGAGCCTTCTGGTAACGAAAACTTATGTAGCTCGAGAATGCCTCTAAAATTCAAAAGAGTATCGAATCGTCCCAGTGAGCCAAAAATAAAAATACAAACTCAAGAATGTTTACGAACAAGAAACAATTTAGTAATGGGACAAGAAACTTGAAGTGCTTAAACATAAATCTCATTTTCTAAAGACAAAAAATGCCAACATTTCTTAGTTGCAAGAAGCTAAACTGATGAAAGGAGGTAACAAAAGAATCACCTTTCCTTCTTCATTATCCCGTCCTTCTTTCTTAATTACTTTGAACGGATGCCAATCTGGGTCCTTGAGATATTCTGCCCACAATGAGCACAACTCTGAAGCTCTTTCATCTGCTTCATCCTCATTATATCTTTTCTTCGCTGCTTCATGGAATGGTTTTGTATCTAGTTCACCCATTCTCTTAACACGCAGGTGGGAACGACCAGGCAAATCTTTAAAAGCCTAAGAAATGAGAGAATTAAACAGTGAGGAGTTTGTTTTAGACTAGAACAAAATCTTGAATTTTTTATCTTGTTTAAATGACTTAGAAAGTTGTTTGCAATAAGAAAATATTCTTACATTCACTATCTCTTTACGGGCTTCTTGGAGTTCGTCGTTACTCTTACGCTGCTTTACTATCAATGTTTGGTTAAGTTCATCAAGAGCTTCAAGATCTCCTTCCTTTTCACTCAAACTTTTTAGTATTGTCTCTGCCTTCTGGAGGACTTCCACATCCTCATCATCTCCCATGTGCTTCATAATATTCAACGACCCACGTAGACGCTCAATTTCCAGCTCTAATGCTTGCTTGGTATCCAGTTGCTTTTCCAGTCGGATTATTCTATTATGGAGGTCCTCCTTTTGTTTCTGAGTCATTAGAAATCACAAATAAGTACACCCTGCTCTCAAGATTTGATAAAGAAATATTTGGATAATTAATAAAGCACATATGCCAACAAACCTTCTGATCATCTGCCAGCTTCATAAAATCTTCATCAGCCTTCTGTTGCTCTAACTCAGCCAATTGAAGAGAACTATTTCTCACCTCATACTGACAGGCAAAAAAGAATATAAATCAAATGAACCTAAATTTACGTTGTTTGTCTGATTCATGAGTTTGTGATTTCTGAGTAAGCATGTAGCACAAGAGAGGGGCATTAGATGCCTAAAAGCATATGACCCAAGAGATTAGCAGACTTATGGCCTAGAATAAGTAAACCTACCTACCAAATTTCAAACTCCAAGCGATACAAATCCAACTCGTGAGCCAAATGCCTTTAAAGGTCGAAGGGGTGAAGAAAGAAGTAAGAGCAAGGAAAAAACCCAGTAGAAACATTTCCACGATTTGCTAAGATTTAAGTGCAACACATCCCAAAATGCTAAAGACTAGTGGTGCAACAAAGATTATGCCTTACAGCTTTGTTTTACTATAGTGATTGAAAACAATTCTTAAAAAATAAACTTGCAAACAATAAAGGAAAAAGGGGACAGGTATTGATCTTTTTTAAAAAAAAAATGCTGTTTTGAAAACCAAAGTTCAGGTGAAGTTGAATGCAACTTATCTTTTCGTAATTTCAGCATCTCTTAATTCCTAGGAAAGAAGAAAAGTAAGTGTACCTTCTCAATTTCTTCAGCCAGATACTTGCTCTCATGTTCATTTTGTGCTTCACGCATCTCCAGTTCTCTTCCTCTTAACTCAAACTCTTTTTTCTGAGATTCTAGTTGCAACTTTAGTTTTTCATGATCACTGAAGATCTTCTTAAGGTGATCCCTTGCACCCAATTGGATTTTTTTTATCTCTGTAGATGTGACAAACGTTATATGAATTTATCAATACAACATTAAAGTCCATGAAAAGAAGTAATCTGCTATGACATGGAACAGATTTTCTGGTTTTGAAGTGCAAGAAGGAAAATTTTCAAGCAATATATAAGAAACCTTCGTTATAAGCTTGAAGTAATTTATCTCTCTCCACCATTAAATTGTTAAGAGTGGTGGCAGTTTCACTACATCTTTCTTCCATCTCTCTCAAATGTTTGTTCTTTAGCTCGATGATACTTGTAAGATTGGACACAAGTCTATCCTGCTTCCGTGCTTCCTCCTCAATAATTTCAGATACGGTCTTCAGGTCTCCAATCTTGCGCATATGTTCCCCGATTATATTACTCGAGTTGTAATCATCAGCACGAGCAACCCAAGCATAAAGTCCTAGTTTCTCAGTACCATTAGCCAGCCAATCCTTTTTTCCATGGTGATCTGCCTCATAAGCCCTCTCAAAAGAAATAGCATTATGCAAACCGGGCCAATCTTTATTAAATTCCACGATAGCACAACCAGAGTGACCCCGGTAATTCCACAAGGGAGTAACTCTTGTGGGATTAAATCCTCTTTCTTTCAACTCATCCCTAAACTTCGATCCACTTTCTCCCACATATCGCCCATCATCTGTACGCCTAGTTGGAAGGTTTACCACAATTCCTCTCCATGGCCACACAAACTTTTCATCATGATCGCAATCCATAACAGGATCATTATTGCTTGCAGGTTTTGATGGACCAACAGAATCAGCTAGATCTTTTTCCAAATATTTCACTAAAGCTAAATGATTAGCTTTCTCTTTGGCACTCCGTTTATTTGAAGGGCTGTTGCCTACCCCAGAAGCATGCTGCAGGAGATCCTTATATAAGAAATCCCTCTTTCTTTTTCTCGAGCAGTAGGGGCAAGTAAATGTCTCATGCGAGAGTTTTACAATGCGTTTTCCATTTTTAAGTTCTTGATAGGACTTGCTCTCCCGCTCATCCAATTCAGATTCACTGATATCAGTGTCCACATCAGAATCGTCAGATGAGGAACTTCCCATAAAACTAGATGTAGAGCACCTAGAGAAGAATACCTCAAGTTAGATTCATATTTATATGTAATTGATGCTTTACAGATTATAGGATTCAAGTGTCCAGCACCAACCCCTAACCAACGAAAGCCATCCTAAAACCCATAGATAAGTAAAGAAATCTAACAAACAGCTGCTCAAAAATCCGTAGCTCCTTAACTAAGCATACACTTCCACATGAAAGGAGAAAAATAAAACCCATGAATGACATCTAAACATGAACCGTAGAGCCCGATCAGTCAAAAAGAACAAGAACGATGAATTCCAAGCCAAATGTCAAACATCGGAGTACACAAGAATCGCAAGGCCTCAGCTCAAAAGAGAAATGCAATGTAGTTGAATTCATGCAACAGAACCAAAATCATGCATGAAATGATCCAGATAAATCTGAACTACCTCAATTCAAACGGAAAAGAACACCGGTACGAAGCAAAAACACAACATAGATCACCTGACAAGAATCGCAGAATCCAAAGGCGTCTGATGAGAGAAAGGGGAAGTGAATTCGCGAATTGAGAGCAAATCAAAGACTCAGGGTTGGAGTGAGGACCGAGTCTGTTCTCGACAATGGAAAAGTGAGTCGCCGTGGAAATGCGAGAAAGTCGAATTGGGGCCTGCGCTGGGTTCGCTCACTAAGGCTCAGACCAAAACCTGACGAAAATCGTAGCGCGTGTGAGCGCGTTGATGGAATCATTATAGGCTCATGCACTCCGAAAGCGTTAATCTCCATGGCTGAAGCTTGTGAGCTTCACCAACAAATTTAGCTTATTGACTTCTGAGCCTCCCGAAATGGCGGCGAGCCATGCTTAAGATTTGGCGCCTACCAATATTATGCAATTTAATAAAAAAAATATTTTGATAACTCAATATTATGCAATAAAATTTAAAAATATATATATATATTAATAAAAAAAATTAAAACTCAATTAATTAAAATATCTATTTTGAAAATTTGTATTTGTGGTTTTAATCTAATACAAATAAAATAAATAACCCACTTATTTAATTACCCTTCATAAATGCTACATAATTTTTTAATTATAAAAATATATATCACCCTATAGGATCATTTTTTAGTTTTTCCTCAAAGTTTAAAAAATGCAGACACACAAGGAATGTTGTGCTTTTCTCTCTAATCGATTTCATAATCTACCCCTTGTGTCAAGTATCTTTGCTGACTCACTGCTCAGTGTCTGACCCTATACCATTTGTAACCGTTCAAGCTCACTACTAATAGATATTTCTATTTATGCTTTCCCTTTCGAGTTTACTCTTAAAGTTTTAAAACACATATACAAGACGGAGGTTTCCACATTCTTATTAGAAATGTTTCGTATCTTACCTATCTATTCTCAAATTCTACCTATGATGAAGTTTATAGATAGTTTTATTTATTAATTTAGTGCACTCCAAAATTTGTAATTTTTTTATAAATAATATTAATGATTTTTTATTTTAATAAAAAAAGAAAATATCAGCTGGCCTCCGTCGTTCTCTCCGACAAACACAGCGAAATGGCGCGGCAATAGAATCCGTTCTTCGATCCATCCAATCTGACCGGGTTAACTGCCATCGCCGGCTAAAATTGCAATCGAGCTTCGTGATATTGAATAAGTTTTTCTTCACGAACCTTACAATTCAGAAGCTGGAATTCGAATCTAGAAATGTTCACTCAATTTGGATCAACCTCCGACACACTGAGTAAAGCTTCGACCATGGTGTTTCGGATCGGCACAGACGCTCACCTCTACGACGATCCCGAGGATGTCAACATCCCTCCCTTACTCGACAGCAAGTTTGACTCCGAGAAATGCGAGGCACTCAAACGCTTACTCGCTCTCATTGCTCAGGGTTTTGATGTGTCCAACTTTTTCCCTCAGGTTATGTTTCATGAAATACCAAGTTTATTTGTATAATTTCCTATAATGGTTAATTGTATTCAATCTCAATTGCTGGAAATTCGGTGTCAGTGAATTCACTGAGCTGTGGAGGTCTTAGTGGTTATGTGTTCTGAATGCTTTTAGTTGAAATGGAACTTCAGGTTGTCAAGAATGTTGCATCTCAGACATTAGAGGTGAAGAAGCTGGCTTACTTGTTCCTGTTGCATTATGCTGAAAAGTATGGTATTTTCGCATTTTACTTTCTGAATCATAATTAGCTCTCTTTGTTATGTCATCTAAGTAATGGTTGCGTTGGTGGTCGATCTTGGCTTATAATGCTATCATCTTAGCATCGTCGTATGGGCTAAGTTCGCCCATCATGAGCTGCTCTTGAGTTCTGATTCTGATTTGTAATGCTTAAGGTGTGACAATTTATGTTACATTTACTGTAAGTTATGTTTTGCACTTTAGGCATCCAAATGAAGCGTTGCTGTCTATCAATTGTTTCCAGAAGGATTTAGGGGATACAAATCCTCTTGTGAGGGCATGGGCATTGCGGACGATGGCAGGAATTCGTCTACATGACATTGCACCTCTTGCTCTTGTGGCAGTGAGGAAATGTGCCAGGGACCCGTCTGTGTATGTCAGAAAATGTGCAGCCAATGCTCTTCCAAAGCTTCATGATTTGCACCTTGAAGAAAATGCCTCGGCTATTAAAGAGGTTTGCTTGATTCTTGTCTTGACTTGACAACGTGCCGTTATTAGATCATGGATGCTTACTGGTGGAAGGTCAAATAGATGGGGAAGTATATATTATGTTTAGTCCGTTGTCTGATTCTTTGCTCACTCAACTCGTATTCAGTATTCCTATTCCACAGAAGGTTGTTATTTTTGCTGTGTGCTACTGTACTTGAATTAAGTTTGGCATGCTTTCTTGCAGATTGTACTGATACTGTTAAGTGATTCCTCCCCTGGTGTCATTGGTGCTGCTGCTGCTGCATTTGCTTCTATCTGTCCAAATGATCTGACTTTGATTGGAAGAAATTATCGAAGGTTATGTGAGGTCTTACCGGATGTTGAGGAATGGGGTCAAGTAATCTTGATTGGAGTCCTTTTGCGCTATGTTGTGGCAAGTATTGGGCTTGTTAGAGAATCCATTATGCATTCTCTGCATATTGTAGATGATTCAAGTTCAGAAAAGAATGGCGTTGCAAATAATTTTACATCAGCCAAAGAAGATATTGAGATGAATGGTTTTTGTGATACTGCATTAACAAATATGATATCCAGATGTTATACTGAAGGTCCAGATGAATATTTATCACGATTAAGTTATTCGAACAAAGTTTTTCCTAAATTGGATGATGGACATTTTGTGTCTAGTCAGGAGAATGATGATATCAGGATCTTATTGCAGTGTACATCACCTTTGTTATGGAGTAACAATAGTGCAGTGGTTCTTGCTGCTGCTGGCGTACACTGGATTATGTCTCCAAGGGAAAACATAAAAAGAATTGTTAAACCATTAGTGTTTCTACTCAGATCATGTGATGCTGCAAAATATGTGGTATTTTTCTTATTTTATTACATTATTTACCATATCTTATATTTCATTTGGAGACAACACATTATAAAGGGTTTCCTTTCCTAATAAGGTTTATATCAATAGATTCACTTAGAGAAGCTTGGACAATCCTTCAATAAATGAGATATATATGTTATGTTTTGTGGTTTAGAGGCATGATTTTCATTTGGAATTATTATAAAGTTAAAAGTTTAAATAAGCTAGGGAGAAAGTTGAAGTTTTGTGATGATGGTTCCAGGGGAAGTCATTTTCATTTCAATTTGTCATGCTGAAAGGGATTTGAAAAGGTGGATGAACATCAGCAATATATCGAGATCTATGAAAATCAGAAATTGAAATATCAAATTATGATACAATTTACATACAGTTCAATTAATCAAGGCCATTTTTTTCAAATCCAATTTCGTTTCTGTGTGTGTTATTTATTTGCGTTTTTTTATCAGCCAGTAGTTTTCTGTTTTTAGATTGTAAGAGATCTCAATTGACTTCCACAGGTTCTCTGCAATATTCAAGTGTTTGCTAAGGCAATGCCTTATCTCTTTGCTCCTCACTATGAAGACTTTTTCATCTGTTCTTCTGATTCATATCAAGTAAAAGCATTGAAGCTTGAGATTCTTTCATCCATTGCTACCGATTCATCTGTTTTATCAATTTTTAATGAGTTTCAGGTAGCATTCTGATTTCCCCCTTGTTTTCCCACTGTTTTCTTTTGTTTTTTGTTATGTGGAGTGAGAAAGTTGGGTGAGCGGAGATGATATGGAGTGATAGCTCCTTTTGAATTAGTAATCATCATTTTTCATGTTTCTGCTTCCTCATAAATGAAACTAAATAAACTTTAGTTGACTTTATTGCATACTATTTTCTTGGTTGCATTAGACTCCAGGTCTTATATGCTTACTTAGTTTTCCTTTTTGTTTCTAGGATTACATTAGAAACCCAAACAGAAGATTTGCAGCTGATACGGTTGCTGCAATTGGCTTATGTGCCGGGCGTCTCCCAAAAATAGCCAACATGTGTTTGAATTGGCTATTGTCTTTAGTAAGAAAGGGTGTGTGATTTGTGCTTGCAAAGTATTCCTTTAAGGAGTTTTTTTTTTTTTTTTCCTTTCCAACTCGAAAATTAAAAATTGCAGAAACATCGGCTTGTGACAATGAAACGAAGGATGAAGAGGCAGCTGTACTGATTCAGGCAATCACATCCATCAAGTTTATTATAAAGGAAGATCCAGCTAGCCACGAGAAGGCATTATTATCTACCTCTTTTCATCTATAACCTTTACACATCCCTGTCTAGAGTTTAATCTTTAGTAGCTATCCCATCTCATGCTATGAACTTAAATTGTTGAGCTTAAGCAGCATTTAATTTTTATATAAAGATTTTCATTTGTATAGTTTCTTCTTAATAGCAATATCCATGATAGTGACATGCTGATATTTCTATTTTATTTTTCTTTTTGGTTTTAAGTGTTACTTTGTTGTATTGCTTCCTTACACTAGTCTATTGATTATCATCATATGTTTGGTTGGTTCTTCATTTCGTTGAGTTTATAATCTGATAGTGATTCTAGATGTATGATTTAATATTTAATTCATCTTTTCAAGAATAATGGCTTGATTAAACATTTTCAATGTGTCACTTTGATGAGTTTTAATCCCTTGTTGGTTGCGTAAGGCAGTTAGACTAGCTTCTACTTTTCTCGACTCTCATTTATCTGAAAAATATTTTCAATTGACGTATTATTTATAATTTAGCCCCAAAATTTTGTGGTTCATGTTAAATTCAGTTACATCCTTGGTCACACAAGTGTTAACTCTTTTAGGTTAGAAATATCACTTTGTGGTATTTCTTCCTTGCACCAGTCTATCCATTATTGTTGACACATTTATATTATAATATTGAATATATCATTGCTCTTTGCATGAATGTTAGATTGGAAAATTTATTCAATTTGCATGTGGATGAGCTTGAAATCCCTGTTCATTGTTTCAAGCATGTAGATGCACTTCAAACTTTTCTCAAGTATCTATTTCCTATCTCTCAACTGTTTGGTTCAGCCGCAATGCATATTTACCTTCCTTAAAAATGCATAATATATTTTTTAAAATCTGGTTTTCAAGTACTTCTTTACACAATTTACAGGTTATTATTCAGTTGATTCGCGGTTTAGATTCAGTCAAGGTTCCTGCAGCCCGTTCAATGATTATTTGGATGGTAGGGGAGCATAGCACCTTAGGGGATATTATTCCTAGGATGTTGGTTGTCGTTGCCAAGTATCTTGCAAGGTCGTTTATTTCAGAAGCATTGGAAACGAAGCTTCAGATACTGAATGCAATGGTTAAGGTATTT